AAGATGTGATGAGTTGGTGCAAAGTTCGGCGTGGCTCCAGGGACAGTGCCGTGAGATCGAGAAAGAGCAGAGGGTTCGAGGAAGGAGGTGTGGCATGTATGACGTGCCCTCACCGCCAAACACAGATATCCCTAGTGGGCTGTCACCTATTGAGCCCGTGCAATGCCCGTTGGACTTCTTCACACCGCAAACTAGCAACGGTGGTGGTAGCAGTGCGATGGAGGTTAACAGACGCGCTGGGAGGACTAGCAGCGACGATACCGATGAAGATAATGGCGTTGTGGTTAGAGGTCGCAGAATGCAGACCACTGGAGGATCCCGTGAAACCGATGTGGCGGTCGGTAGGGTGCTGAAGGACCCTGCCTTTATTCGAAAAGTGGTTGACGAAGTGTCGCGGCAGCTCGCCGCGCAGATGCAACAGAGTGATGTGACGAAGGAATTAGAGAACTCACCGTCACAAGGGCTGCCCTCGGCAGTGTTGTTGGTTGTGCGTGAGGCCGCGAATGCAATTGCGGGCGCACATGACGCAGAGTTCTGTCAACGGCTCCAGAATTACTTTACAGAACAGGAAAAGCAGCGCGAGGCACTGGAGGAGCAGTTCTGGCAACGTGTGGCAGAGCACGACGAAATATGGACGCGGCGCGTTGCAGCTGTGCAACTGGAAGGTGCGGAGGCAATACAGGAACAGCAGCGGTTTCTAACACTTGGTAGAGCCGACGCCGAGTCATGTGGAGAGGTGCGCAAGGAGCTGTTAAAGCTCTGTGGTGAGGTGATTCGCACTGTAGAGCGTGCGCCGGGTAATTCCGGTGTGCCGCGGGCGAGCGACGATGGCACCGCCCGACAATCTCCTCAGGGCGACACAGCGCGCCAGGACCGTTTGGAATTGCGTTTGGAGACGCTTTCAGCAGCTGTTAACGGGCTCTACTCGGACGTGGAGGCAGTTCGCAAGAAGGCTGTGGTCATGGACGCTCCGCAAGACGGATGGCGTAAAGAGACGGAGAAACACATCGCAACCCTGCAAGAGAGTATGGCTGATATGCAGGAAGCAGTCGCCATCGTTGCGCGGAAGTCACGGACGGTGGAGGAGCGTCTGGATACATCCAAGGTGGAAAAGAAAGAGTTGCACACATTGACAGAGCGGCTGCTCGGATTGGAGCGACAGGTAGAGTCGCTCCCGTCGCTGCTCGCCACCACGGCACCCCCGCCACTGCCTCCACCGAATGAAGCGGTGACAAGTCGCGGCAGTAACCCAATGTCAGTGGAAGACGCCATGATGAATGCGCAGCGCATTTTGTTTTCTGGTGATGAGAGGAAATTGGTATTGAAAACCGATCCATACGCCAAGGCAGTGTCAGCCTTGTGTGCCACGCTGCAGCAAGTGAATCACTTATACAATATCGGTACCGGTACTTTTGGAGGGAGTCTGCAGCTAATCTTCGCGATGCCGCCTTTCTCTGTGCCCAGCACGCTGGCATCGGCATGCCAGGTGTATCTGCGTGAGCACTCAGCAGCGGAGCTGAAGGAAGCGGTGGAGGCTCTCGATATTGGCCACCAGACTGCAGAGGTACTGCTGGATTGTTACTACTGGATGCAGTCTCACGTTCTAGTGGTGGGTACAGGCTGTGAAGAAAGCTTGCAGCGCTCAAGGGATGACGCCACGGTTGTCGAAGATCTCCGCCGTGGCTTGGAGGGGCCGTTATCACGCACTGGTGCGACGACTATGCCGTGCACGGCACCGCCCTCTTCTGCCCCAGGCCACGGGGCATCGTTCGGGGACTTGTCCAAGTCACAGGAAACACCTCTATTCCATGATATGGCGCCTGCATCTGGCTCTGACGCTGCGACGCAGACCGAAAAGATCGTGACAGCGCTGCCACCGCCGTTATCAGCTCCACAGACGCCTCCACCACCGAGTGTTAACCCCCTTGTGACATGTGATGATGGAAGTGGTCAAAGCCAACTGCAGCGCCCGCACCAACACCAACAGCAGAATGCAGAGGCTGCTGCTGCTGACGCCACCACTGCGTTGGAAGCACTCGCGGTTGGTCGCTCCCCAGAAGAGACAGAGTCTCTCTGCGGCGTGGTGTATCACTACCATCATCATCATACCTGTGGAGAAGACAGAGTGCATGCATATACACCGCAGTGCTCAGGAAGGGGGAAAAGTAGAGCCCAAAACTCGGGGTCGCAGTTAAATGAACATGATTGTTCAGAAGTGTTAGAGAGGCGAAGGAATGAAACGGTGCAGCGCATTGAATCATCTTTTCTTGACTCCAGTGATGCCAGGGAGCAGGAGTGTCCACAACCCGTTCCCGCCCTCAACCGCTCACACGTCTACCGAGATGGAAAGAGGGCCGCAACACCGGGCTGCATATTGGGTGCCGTGAACAGGACCTTAGACGTGGCACCGATACCCTCTGCATGTGGCAATGAGTGCCTTCCCCTGCCTTCTGCCGTGTCTGCATTCACAGACCCTCAGCAGGTGACGGGTGCTACAGGACGTGGACAGCGCTCACTGAAGAATCCACGGCCTTTTTACACGGCCATCACACAGCAAGGACGACAGTCACACCGCGGCAACAACGATGGCCTGGCGAGTGACTCCAGTATGCGCACTGGGCATTGTCTTGGGGTCGAAGGGCGATGCGAGGCACCAGGCCGTCCTCAGCTTCACCACCGCGGTCTTCTTTCGACTACCGTGAAAAACCGCGACGATCTTCTTGCTGGTGTCATGGCGGCGCAGCTGCAGCAAGGTCCGTACATGTACCATGATGAGAGATCACCGACCAGGTGGCGGACAGTTACACGACGATGATGGTGGTGAGGGGGAGTAGACCCCTCACATGGATCCATGCCTTTGGACGAAGTGACGGAGAAATCGTGGCTGAGTTGTTTACTTGTCATTCCTACTCTCTCTCTCTCTCTGTGGGCGCTGTGCTGTCAAGCGTAGAGATGGCAAGACAGGAGTGCGAGAATCAACTAAAATTCTTTCTGTTGGTCAGCGTACAGGGTGGGGTTTTAGACGCTTTACATCGTTCCTTGTAATTATTTGTCGTATACTTGCTATTCTTGTGTTTGTTATTTATTTAACACTATTTTTTTTCCCCACCCCTGCTCTATTATTTTATATTCTTCAAAGTTGTTGTTTTTTCACCATCATATTCCGTGCTGCCAGGTGCAGACGAAAGAAAAAGAAGCAGTGACTTTTTCTTCAAGAAGGAGTGGACCCTCAACTTCTGCACCTTATTGCTATTGCAGCTCCTGCTTGAATCAGCGCTCACCATGTTTCAAGCACAAACAAGCGCGCGGGCTGGTGGCGCTTTCTACTGCGCCTCCTGTAACCTGTACTGTAGCGACAGTCGATCGGCGGAGATGCATCGGGCAAGCCTGAAGCACAAGAAAAAGAGCGGTGAGCTGGAGATCGAGCGCCGCCTTTATGGAGACGACGCTAGTGTCACAGTGAAGGACGTGATGGCGCTTGTTGAGCGCAAACGTGTTGAGTTGGGGGTTGTGCCATGGAGCGAGTTGCGCTTCCAAGAGGCTGAGGCACGCAGCGGTGAATCTTCCTGAATGCCGGTGCACGAGGAAGAGGAATTTGCACCCTCTCCATACCGTGTCTCTGCGCTTCTCTCTCCCTTCTGTTGAGTTCTGATTATGCTTCCCTTTGTTGATATATATATATATATATATATGTTAATTCCTTCGGCCGTATTATTCTTACTAATTCTCTTTGGCCGCTTTCCGTTTTTTTTTATTATCCAAAGAGTACCAGATCACATTCTGGCGAGAAGAATTGGTGTTGTCACACGCATACCATGTCTCTCTCAAGCCTGGAAGAGGCGTGCCAGCACGCAGTGGACGTTCTTATACAAGTTTTAGGCAATGAGGATCTGCACGCCGCGGCGCGGGGGATGCCATACACCGACGTGCGGATACACATTGCGGAGTTGTCGCCGATCGAGGAGGGCCTAGTGCTGCAGGGCAAGTTGGTCCGCCAGCAGGCCTCCATGCTGCTCTACCAGCTGGGCGCAGGTTGCTCTTCCGATGTGAAAGACGGGGCTAACAAAAATACAGCGGCCCGAGGGAAATATAACCCACCGCGCTTTATCGATGCCCCGTTGTTTGTCCGCAAGTCACGACTTCTGCGCGAGAGGGCACGACGTGTTGGCATAACTCTCAGTAGCCTCAAACATGTTGGTTTGTTGAATGAAGAGTCTCTTGGGCGTCGCGTCATCACGGATCGCGCATTTGGCGCTCTAAGAGAGCTGCTAGACATGCTTGTGGCTGTGGCAGCAACGCTCGCGGAGACGCCGTCACCGTCTGACTTTCGCTCTTACGCGACGTCCGTCGAAACTGTTGCAGATGCACTCCAAGATTCTGCCAGTCGGTCAAGCTTTCAGCCGACGGGCTGCCATTGTCCCATTGCGGATGTAATTAATGGTGATGCGCCAGAAAATGGTTTTTCTGTGGGGCCGTTGCATAGACATCGAGATGAAATCACGTCGGAGCCTTCGAATCCTGAAGCAGAGCAGCAGAAGGAAAAACAAGGAAACAATGACCACAAGACAAGCAGAAGAAGTAGTAGCTCTGAGAGGAAAAAAGGGCCGTTGCTTGTCGAAAAGGCACGTTCACCGTTGCCTGTGCTGGCGTACAAGGCAACCGCTCCCGCCTCTACGTCTGCTTCGTCTGAGAAGACCCCCTCGGCGGCGTTAACGTCGCCGCTGCTTCGCTACGAGCAACGTACGTTATTGGCACCGCATGAGGCAAGTGAGGCAGATACGGAATGTGTGGGTTTGTTGGAAACGGGAGTATTAGATTCACACAAGCCTTTGGGAGAGGTCTGTGATGATAGCACTCACTTCCCCGCATGTAAGCAGCGCCAGATGCCGCTTAGCACGGCTCCGCAGGTTCCTGACCGCAGGCTGAACACAAAAGCCTCTGGTAACGCGGGTTTTTCGACTCGCGTCACAAGGCATGACCGGTTGTTCCGTGGACAATTGTGGCGTGAATTGCTTCGTGGTGGTGAAGCTGCTGCTGCTGAATGGAAAGACGTGTTTATATCTGAAGTTGGAATGCTGTTTGGGATCCCCAACGAGTGGGTGACCAACGTGCACTTGGTAGAAGATAAGGCGATAGGACTTACTGGCGGTGACCAGATTGTAAGGTTCGAGGTGCTCCTTCCCTCCTCTCTTGAGAAGGATGATATTGCGTTGCGAATACGACAACATGAATTTACCGGGATGCTCCTGCTCTACGAAAACTTGCAGGAACGAAGGGATCGAGAACAGGAGGAAGAAGTGAAAACAGCGGGCCGACAGGAGGAAGAAGATGACATGGAGGAGCGTGATGGCTCCGCTGGATCAGTGACAAGTCAAGACGTGACTTTCACGACACCACTGGACTTTGAACGGACAATCCTTCCTCGCGGCGACACCGACAGCGCAATCAAAGACATTGACAATAAAAGGGATGGAGACAAGGGTTCTCCAGTGGATCTGCTCACGTCGTTGTCTGTTACTGAGTCACTCTCGCGTGTTGCATTGCAGGCTCAGGAAAACCATAAGCGGAGCCTCTTCATGACAACATCTGCCAAGAATAGGCACATGATGGAGCGGGAGCGGCTGCGACCTGCCACTTTAACTGAGGGATCATCTCCCACGCGCCACCACATAGAGCAGTGGGGGGCGCGTGGCGACCGTGAGGACGCGGGGTGCTGCGATGATACGACCCAGCTTCCCGCACGCTGCTTCACTCTCCCAAATCAACAGTCCGTGCAGCTGCCGCCGTCCCTGCAGGACGGCGGGGAGAAGGAGCGGCCCTCGTCACCTTCCTCCTCAAGGTCTTCCAGCGATAGCGGCAACGGAGGTGACAGTCCCGCACTGCGGAGTCGTACACCGCCCCTGTTTGCACGAAAAGATCTCACTTCACCGCAGAAAATGCAAAAGTCGCCTACAATGTGGCTTACCACAACTCATGAAAAGGTTATTCGTGGAGAGAGATGGGAGACTGTGCTCGTTGAGAATGAAGATAGTGTGCGCCGCACATTTGCGACGGAGCTCACCGATTTGTTTGAACTTCCTGAGGAAAGTGTGAGAAATGTGGAGTTTGCACCAGGTGGACTCCGCGTTACGTTTGATTTGGTTCATGATCGTTACCTACACGAATCAGAGATCAACGCACTTCTCGCCGTGTTTGATTTCCCGCAGGTTCGCAGTCTTTACCAGCGGTGCCTTGACTGCGGCAACAAAAGTCCTTATCGCCTCAGTGATGATACTTGCGGCGGAGACAGCGTCAGAAACAGCGGTGACATAAAAGTTGTTGACACCGATGATGCGAAGAATTCTTCTTTGGCGTTTAGCGGGGCTATAGACATAGATCTCCAGTGCAGTGACCCCCTAGACGATAATGCATCCATGCCTAAAGTTGAGGGCAGCCAACAGATGCCTGATCATCAACCGCATTTCCCGCTGCGGGTGCCCACCATGGTGTGGGATGGCACCGTCACTCCAGACAATGAACCTGTTACACTTGCACATTTGTCACTTCTGCACGACCTGCCACTCAATGTGCTCATCGAGGCAAACCCACATCTTGCTTCTTTTGGCGTCAACGAGCCACTGTCGCTTTCGGCAAGTGTTGCGATACCACGTGGCGAGCTCGAGGAGGATTTTATGCGCCTCGCGGAGGGCAGTGATGCACTGGGCTCACGCAGCATGACGCCGTCTTTGACGAGTCCTACACCGTCCCGTATTCATACATTGCGCGAGGCTGAAAGCTCCCGTGCGGGGCCGCTCATGAACCTCAAGAGCGTTGCGAAGAAGCTTGGTGTGAGTGTGCAGACGCTGCGGCAGCGTAATCCGCACCTTGACGCGTACAGCGACATTGAACTGCTGCCGCGGAACTGTTCCATCAACATCCCAGCACTGCTCTTCGGAGCGCCGGAGTCAGCGAGTGGATTCTCCTCCGTGCGCAGCAGTCCCCGGGCCCTCGCTGCGCCTGCGGCAAACCCGACGGCCTCCGTTGTGACATGTAGCAGGGGAACAGATGCGGCGGTCGAGCCTCCTAGGAAAACGCTTCTTGAGGAGCTCAAGCAGCACCACCCGCGGGGGTTGGAGCAAACAGCGGCAGCGAATGTGCAGATTTTCATGGGTGAACAAGCACCGCCGCATTCACTGCGGCCGTGTCCGCAAAACGTTATGCACACAGAGAATGGCAGCGTGACGACGGCCAAATCACCGTCTTCGACGTCGTCGCCTCCGCCTCCACGTGGGTCGACATCGTCTGGGCACAGTGACACAGTGCAATCGCTTATGCATTCGGACACACGTCCTCCCTCTGTGACTACTGTCTCGCACCCGCACCCTGGTCGCATTTCCACAAACCTGTCGGATGCCGTAGTGGGCCGTGAACAGGCGGTGCTGGTGATGGAGCGGTCGCAATTCCAATTTCTCCTCATTCGATTCTTTGCCAAATGGCAATATATGGCTCAAATGCGGAGGGGTATGAGACAGTTGGTATGCGTACCAGCGATTTCTGCCAAAGGAAGACTCGATTTGCCCGAAGCACCATTAAACCTTCATTGCCGTTTACGCACACTGAGGACGAAGGGCGGGCAAAGACCCCGACATGCAGTGTCCCCGAGGATGGGTGTGACACCGAACCAAGGAACACGCCTTATTGCGAAGACAATGGAGGCCATCGCGCGCACCCAAAGTCGAACCACCTCGCCGCGAGCCGAGTCAAGAAGGAGACCTGCAGCGGAGCTGGCATCTGGCCGTTCTCGGTGGCAGCAGCAGCAGCAGGGGAGCGCAAAGACACGCACGTCTTCTGCAAATCCACCGCTTAGAGGTGTAGTCTCCGGCCGTAGCGCGATATCACCACTCAGGTCGTCACGTAGCGAGAATCGAACGCTTTCACAGCCTCCTACTGCTCACAGCAACACGACGCGCCTCGGTTTCAGTCGCGCAAGCAGCACACATTCCATCTCCCGCGCGTCGTCACTCGACCGAAGAAGAAAGTTAAGGGATGAATCGGTGATGTCGGAGCAGTTGCCGTTGGGCCTCCTCCTCACCTCCTCGCTAGAGGTTGCGGAGGCCGTTGGGGAGGCGGCGGAGGCGGGCATCCGGCGCGGCGATCGTCTCGTTGAGGCTGGCGGAAACCGTCTGCAGACGTTAAAGGACTTTCATGCGGCGTTAGCTGCAGCCATCAGTCCACATTTGTTTGTGACGGTTGCGAAGAAGAGCAATGGTGCGCTCACGGCGTACAGGGTGCAGCGACGTGAGTGGGACGACGCGGGTGCACCAGTAAATATCTCTCCACGTGCGTCACTGGCAGAGTCCAAGACCGCCCCTGTGCTTACTGCGGCAAAGAGTGTTGCTTTGACTGCTTTGCGTGTGCGCAGCGGCAGCAACAACAGCAGTGGCCGCACCGTTGTTCCGCCGCCTGTGCCGCAGCGCAGGAGCATATCTTCGACTCCACTCTCGCGTGACGCTCGTGGCAGCTACGAGGCTCGTAGGCTGCAGAAGGAGCCGCAGCAGCGCTAGACTCCGGGTGAGAAGCAACGGGGTCAAAAGGGTGAGGGACTCCCTTTTTTTTCTTTTACCAGTAGATTGCGGGAGGGGAGCTGACCCGGTATTCCTGCCACCCTGTCACAAACGTAGATGATATAAGGCGTTGTGGGCAAACAAGAAGATCTATTGCTTTTTTTTTTTTTATTACCTTTGGCTTGGAGTTTATTGGACGCCGCAATGTGTATGCTTTATAAGTGAGCGTATGCATCCCGATAGTGTGAAGGGAAGACGGCTGCTATAGAGTGACATCTGCTTTTACTTCCACTATTCCCAGGGTGCAGATGGATAAGTGCGCATCTACGCTCCATTTCGCATTGTTCACGCCGCCTGTTCCTTCGTGTTCTACTTGCTGGCAACAGGAAGACGGATCTGGGCTCTTTCCGGCACCTGAGTAAAGGGAAAGGCGCAGGGCGTTATGATCACCTTCTATAATGCAAGACGAAGGCACCAGACGGCAAGAATACAGGACAAAAAAGAAATGGAGGGTAGAGGGGAGTGAATACACTAAAAGGAACGAAAATAGAATAACAAGTTCCGTATTACTATCTATACTGGATGCATAAAAGTATATATACGTATGTGTGTATGTTTTGAAGTGCAGTGAGGAGCAACCAGTGAAACGAACAAACGAGAAAAAAAGGAGATGGAACTGAGGATGAAACAGATATTAAAGCAAAAACAACACCATATGTTTGCCCTGTGCCTTCTGTCATGTTGGTTGCGTTTGGTGTGGTAGTGTTGCTCCGATTCACGTGCCCCCTCTTTCTTCTTTATTATTCTATTATGCGTGCCAACTATGCCCGGCTACTTCTGCCGCCGCTGCAACAGCAACAGCAACAGAAAGGGAAGCCGCTAGGCTTTGAGCAGCCGCGCCGAACATGGGCGGGGAGAGCAATGCGATTGGGCAGGAGGCGCTGGTGTATGACAAGATGTTCCGTGTCATGCGGACCGTAGGCGAGATGATGCGCGACCGCCGCTACCAAGTCGCCGACCGCGTCATCCCCGCCAGCGCAGAGGAGTTCAAGGACTGGTACAGCGACGCGCGCGAGGGGACAATCCACCGCGAGCGCATGACAGTCCCTTGCGAGCGCGTCGGCGGGGCGCAGCGTAGTCGCGCAATGGTGTTCTTCGCCGATGGCCTCTCGATGGAGGCGATGAAGCGCTATCATACGCAGGCGACGGAGGCGAACTGCGATCGCGTCATAATCGTGTCGCACGGCAAGATGAACGCAACGGTAAAGCGGCACGTCGACGACCTCAACCGCAGCAGCCTCAGCCTGAAGATCCAACTCTTTGACGAGGATGACCTGGTGGTCAACATCACACACCACGAGCTGGTGCCGAAGCACACGCAACTGGAGGAGGAGGAGATAAAGGAGATGCTGCAGGCGCACGCGCTGGAGCTGAGCATGCTGCCGCGCATTCTCTCCACTGACCCAGTCGCAGCGTATCTGGGGCTGGAGCGCGGCAGCGTCGTGCGGATTGAGCGCAAGAGCATGTCAGCCGGCTTCTACGTAACGTACAGGCAGGTGGTGTGAACAATGACGATCTGCGATACACAGCTTGTGGGGGAGAGAAAAAGAAGGAGAGAAGCAGACTGAGAGAGAGAGAGAGATAGTGTGTGATTATGCTTCTCTGTGTGTTAGTCTCTTTTATTATCCCAAGAGCCCTCGGCTGCCGCATTGTGTATGGGTATTGCTCCCTGCGCACATTCAGCTATTGTTGCTTTTTTTTCGTTTCCGGTTTTTAATTGTTGTCTTGACATGGAGAGTGCGGAAAGGGCGAGGGGCGGCCGGCGTCTTATTCACTCACTCTACTCGTGTGTGTTGACGGACAATGAGTTCCATCGAGGAGCTTAAAATTGTGCGGCTCTACCGTGCGTACAACACCATCATTCAGATGTGCATGGACCACGGCTGCAGCGTGCGCCACCCGTCGGTCGTCGCGCAGGCCATCCGTGACCCGCAGTTTTACAGCGACGAGGACGGGCTTGACTACGACTGGTTCCAGCGTCACTTCGTCGTGCAGCAGGCTCCAGGCGCCGTGGACGATGAAGAAGAAGAGCAAAGGGAAGTGCAGGCTCGTCGTGGTAGTCAACATCAGCAGCAGCAGCAACGTTGGTGTGCGATGCGCGGGGCGATGCGGCTAGTGTGCAGCACGAGCGGTGACGACGCCACAGGAGACAGCAGCGAGAAGGGGCGGCCACTGCTTGTCTTCTTCTCTGCCTCACCGTCGCTCAGCATGGGTGAGGTGCAGGAATACCGCGACAAGGCCCTCCAAAAAGGGGCGTGCCGCATGATCGTGGTGGTGGCCGGCAAGATATCACACGTAGTGCGACGTGGCACGCGGGAGCTGAGCGGTCGCCTGCGCGTCGGCACGACGGAGGAGGTGATGTCAATTCAACTCTTCGAGGAGGACGCGCTCGCATGCAACATCGCACGGCACGAGACGGTGCCGCCGCATGTGGCGCTCTCGCCCGCTGAGGCACAGGCGTTCCTGCAGAGCCGTAAGTTGACGCTGTCGCAGTTGCCCCGAATACTCGATGAGGACCCAATGGTGGCATACTTGGGCCTTTCGCGTGGCAGCATTGTGCGGATTCAGCGCGAGACGAAGGAGAGCGGGCCATACGAGATGTACCGACAGGTCATCTAGCGTCTGTTTTGTCTGTCTGTGTGCGTGTTTCTCGGGTAACAGGGTTGCATGTGCCTTTGTGCGTGCGTGTGTGTGTGTGAGAGAGAGCTAGTTTATTTTAAAAAAAAAAGGATAGCCGCTAACTTAAGGGTGCTTCAGCTCTGGAGGAAACATGGTGACGATGGTGCGTGCCCTACGCGCTGTGAAGTGAGACACATCTCGGTGTGAATGACCCTTGCTGTTCCTTTTTCGTTTTGTGTTCCTTTTGCCGATGCTGCCTCGCACGTGCTGCAGTATAGGATAGAAGAAAGGGCGCAGGGCTCTCGCTCCGTCGTCGTTGCTCACTGTTCTGCTACCGCCTGATTCCACGTATATTCTGCGTACGTGCGTGTGTGAGTGTGTGTGTGTGTGTGTGTGGAGTAGCAAGAACAGAGTGGGTGGGGCAGCAGACGGACAGCAGGAAAGGCGAAACGAAAAGGGGAAAAAAAGGAAATAGAGAAAGGAATAACATTAAGCGTGAATTCGCCGCGATGTATCGACATACCGTCATTGCTCTGGCGAAGGTTTACGGTGCGGCGTCTCACTCCTATACCGATCCAGGGAAGCAACCGCACCGCCAGCTGCACGGGCGGCGGGAGCGGCAGGGTAGTCTCTTCGCCGTCGCCAACGATGTGAGGAACGACGAGAAGCAGCTCCGCCAGCAACTCAACGCTCTGCTGGAGGAAGAGAGGCTCCCACTGCGCGCACGCCTGCAGCGCACCAGCAGCAGCAGCGGCGGTGTTGAGGCCCTACCGCAGCGGCGTCTCGTTGACTTGCCGGGCGTGGAGCGCCGCCGTGATCTCCCGGCAGACCCCATCACACGGCTTTTCTTTCAGCACAAGGGTGACCACGCACTCTACTACGGCACGTACGACTGCCCCAGCCGACAGGATGAGGACCGTGTGCAGATTGAGAAACGCGAACCGCGTGATTGGACTCATAACGTCTTCACGCCAGTGTATGACTTCTGCCACCGCATCCGCGAGGCGACTGAACAGCGGAAGCGATTTGTCATTGTGCCGTCCACCCTTGAGACACGGGGTTGTGCGCGCGTGATGCACGACCACGGGCTCGTTGCGGGATTCCGTGACTTCCACAACGATCGCGCCTTCGCGGTGGAGCTGAAGTACTTCCAGGGCGAGTCCACTATTAATGTCATTGAGCCGTGCGCCTACGACGGCAAGACGGAGTTCGAGTGGAGCCCGAAAATGATGCGGCGGCTAATGAATACTCACGGCATCCATAACCGCCTTGTTGTTTACATCTGCAGAACGGCAGACAGCCGTGTGATTGATCACATCCAGGCAGTTAAGGAGCATGTTGGTGGAAGAGGACTGATTATGGTTCACTAGCCGAAGTGGCACGCCTTCTTGAGCTGATCTCCCGCTTTCTTTTCCTTTGTTGTCTCCTCTGTATGTGAGCACGGAGGCGTTGAAAGAAACAAACATGCGTCGTGGCGTAGTATGCCTTTTTTTTCTTGGTGTTGTTGTTGCCCTCTTCAAGTTTTAGTCACATAGAAATGTGTCTTTTTAATGTAGTCAGCTTTCCTTTTTTTTCTTTCTGTTTTTCTCTCTCTCTATGTGTGTGTGGGGGGGGGGGNGGGGGGGGGGGGGCTTATGCATGCGCTTGCTGTATCTCTTCACACCTCCTTGCTCATGGCACCTACATTAATCCTTTGACAGAGTGTAAGTTAAATATATTTTTGATCCGCAAGACGAGGAAAACAACGATGCCTGGCTTAGATTTTCTCATCTCCGTACCACCATCAGACAACCGCCCGCGTGTTCCGCCGCAAGAGAGCTATCTCTCCGAGTACGTTCTCGCCCCGGTGTACGATCGCATAGTGCTGTTCTACCCCACCTGGTGGATGCCGAACAAGGTGACGCTGGTCGGTATTTTTTCTACTCTCCTCGCATCGCTGCTGCTGCTCACGGCGATGCCCCCAAGCACCGTGTTTGAGCCTCCGTTCGCTACCGTTGTCCCCGCCTCATTACTTCTTGACCGAGATGAAAAGTGGAGGGACGCTGCGGGACCTTCCCCACTTTGCCTAACGATGCTACAGCCGCTGTTTAGTTCCGTTTTTTCCTCGCCCATATTGATGCTGTTCGTGTGCGGTTTACTGAACGCTATTTATTGCATCACTGATAACACTGATGGGCGCCTCGCACGGCGCTTAGGGAAGGCAAGCTTCATTGGCGAGTACCTGGACCACGGCCTTGACTGCGTCACTTCACTGATCTCAACAAGCGTCACTATGTCTATCTTGGGTCTCTCGTTCTCAAATATCGGAGTGACGGTCATGTTCCTTGCTTTTACCACAGTCCTGTCACACACGCTGCACTATGAGGAGAACATATTTGTTTGGGGGAACCGTTACGTTTCTGTCGATGAGGCAATGCTTTTTTTCTGCGCGGCAAATTGGGTTCCTATCTTGCTGCCTGACTTTGCCACGGTAAAAGTACCGCAGGCCCTTTTGTATGCGCTACTGCCAGAGGCATGGGCACAGCTGTTGCTCCCCGTGCGCTTGGTTGAAGTGTTGATGATTGTGTACTGGTTGTCCCACGTGCAAGTAACACTTGGCATCGCGTTCAAAAGTTGTAGAATGCTCTTCCGTCTCACAAGCCTTGCACTCTGCTTTAACGCCTTCCTCTTGCTCGCCATTGTCCCTTACCACACGGCGCACATTGCGGCTCACGGTACTGCTGGGTACGCGTGGGGCCCCTTCTCCTATGTTGCGGTTTGGATCATTACAATGGCGTGTACATCCAGCATTGTCGTTCACATTCTCATTTATGCACGTTGTGCGAAGCTGCAGCGAGTAGATCCGGTGGCGCTAGCCGGTCTCGTTTTTGTTTGGCTCATTTTCCCCACCTGCCCCGTGGGTGGAATGGTACTTTCCGTAATCTGGCACATCACGCAGATAGTTATTAACGTGCGCCACCTGGAGGGTATCGGGCATACAGCAGCGGAGAAGTCAAAGACGAGTTGACCGGTGTATCCGCGGTAAAGAGAGAAAAGAAACGAAGAATAAATAAACGAATGTGTGGGCACCGAGCAGGACCACGCAATTGCAGAGAGAGAGAGAGAGAGAGAGAGAGAGAGGTAGTATCGTGACGTGTTTCTGTGGTGAAGCTTGCGCCTTCTCTTGAAGGCGCTCCTACTCCTCTCTAGGTAAGGAAAAAATAACGCAACTGTGTTTGTCTTGGGGAAAGAAAAGACAAAAAAGTTTTCTTTTTGGCTCCTTTGCTAGCACAATCTCTTTTTCCTACCGTCCTGGAAACTTCACAATAAGAAAAAGAAATAAGAAACGTGATAGTGAGTGAGAGCGAAATAAAGGGAGAGAGGACAAGCAAGCAGGTTTCTGAAGTTGTAACGCCCACAATGGACATTTCTGCCATTGTCGTAGCGTTTCAGCGTGTCTCGCCGGACGTGTCCCATGCCGTCCGTGTCCTGTTCAACTACGCGCACCCGCTCTCTGAGCGCGAGGCGGCGCAGCTCACGGACTTCCTCAAGCGGCAGCAGGAGGCGGGGCAGCAGGGGGGCGAGGTGCCTGATGACATAAGGCAGCTCATGGAGCGGCCGCTCCAACGCCTCTCGGCAGCAACCGTTGTTCAGTGTGTCGTGGGCGCCGCCAAGATCCCTAGCTTCCCCACCACGTTTCAGCGACGTCTCCAACGGAAGCTGCTGCACCTCGTCGCCAAGAGGAGCCCACTTTCACTGGAGGAATGGGGCTCAATCCTTCATCATGCAGCGGCGTTACCGATGGCATACTCCCCAGCCGCGCTGCGCTGTGTGGAGGAGGTTTTGAAGGCGGCGGCGCCGGTTGTGTTAGCTTCGACTGCTGCTCAAACCGAAAATGTGCCAGGGAAAGAAGTGCGGGTGCTGTTCCTCAAGACATTTGCAGCCGTTGTTATGCATTACGCGACACGGCACGCCGCACGTGCGAAGCACTCGACACTGCCCGACACAATCGTTGTTCCCCGTGGAAAGGAAAATTTTCTCACAAGCAGCCCAGTTCGGCGTCTTCGACGAATCATCGAGGTGAACTGTGGCAATGTGCAGGATGTGTGGCGTTCTACGGTGCAGTCTCTGTCGCCAGCGGAGTCAGTTGTGCTGTTCGTGGCGGCCCCGTGGCCTTCCCCTGTTCCAAAAGAAGCGTTGCTGCAGGTGGTGAAGGGATCACCGACGCTGCTGCTGCGACTCCTCGGGACGCGGCCCGCTGCCGGAACGCTTGTGACCGATTCCCCTAATGACGTGATACATGCCTGCGCGTATAACATGGGGCTCACAAACTGCTCGCTTGATAGTGCGCGCGACTACCTGGCAGTGCTCATGGCACTCTCAGTGGAGAGCAAAGCTGCGTACTACCGATCTCAGGGAAAGGATGGCTTTTCTCAGCTGTTGATACCCTTTGTGAACAACGCAAAGGTGCTGAATCCTGCAGTGGCGCAGGGATGGAGGGAATTTTACACTCTCCTTTTTATGGAGCTTGGGGCGGAGGAAGAGTTTTTGCCACCTTTCCTCCAGGCAGCCTCCTATCTCGTGGTGAATAGATGCCGCAGCGCAACAGAGAAGGCATCCATCATGATCATTAGCAACGCCGTAATGCGGCAAGTGTCAGATGCAACACGCTCAGTGGCGCCGACAGAGGACTTGGCCCGTATGATTGAACAAGAGCTTGCCAGTCCTGCCAACGATGCCGCTTTGGCTGCATGGCGACTTCTCCGAGTTTCTGCTGTGGAAAACGAGGTCGTGGAGGAGATGCGTTCTGCGCTTAAGAGTGCCAAGAGCAACGAATCCCTGCGGCGGGCGATGCTGCTACACATCTCTGCTGACCGCGCGCCAGCGGATATTTTGGAGGGCCTCACGGAGCCGTTACTGGAGGAGTGTGGTGAGGTGGAGGTGTACAGGCCGGACGCGTTTCTCGCCCTTCGAATCGCTGTGAAGCGGAAACCGGCTGTTGTGGCAAAGTTGTGCCCAATTCTCTGCCACGCGGACGTGCTGGCACAATTGGGCATCAATGCAGATGAGCTGAATGGCCTCGCGGAGACAGCAGTGGAGCTGTCAAAGCACTGCATCTTTGCTCCCATTGCACTCCTTCTCACACATAAGAGCGGGCTGCTTCGCCGCCGAATTTGTTGCCACATCTCCACATTGATGAATGATGCGAGTTCAGTAATTTCCTTGTGGGATAGCGTCACGCAAACGGTATTCGGTCTAGAGACGAAGGATAAGGCAAAAATTTTGTCTAATACCGCAGTCGGCACACTTTTGCCAATCGCTCCAGCACTCCTGCAAAATATTTCCAGGACTGTAGTGACGTCTACCCTTTGTGAACTTGTGTTGTGCTGTGGGCATGATCACATCCAGGGCGAGGACCCATACTATTACCATCACAATGGGTCGCTGCTAGGACGTGCGCGGACGAGCTCCAAGGTAGTCCAGCGGCAATTGTTTGATGGCCTCTTCAGTGGAGAGCACAAACATCTCTTCATGCTGCACAACGAGGCAATTGCGGAGAAGCTCTGTGCTGCTTTCAATGGCCCGACACACCTTCGCACTGCCGCCAGCCGTGGATTGGTGTTGCTTCTGGGATTGCTTTCGAATCCATCGTCGTCGCAGCCGATTTTTGAGAAGCTCCTCAATGCAGCAAAGCAGTCAGCGGAGTACATGGTGTCCCTCGATGCGCGTGACCGCGCCATTGCGGCATCATCGGTGACGGCTCTATTAGAGTACGAAACACATGCCCTGCGGGAGCAGCAGTTGCTTAAGTCATATCCTGATAAGCCCCCTAAGGGGATGCAGGAGGACGACTACGAGGACATGAAACAGAAGGACGCGATTGCCCTTAAGAATGGCCGTGAAGTACTTCGAAAAGATATTGAGAAACGCAGGCACGTTATTGAAGACACCGTACAGCAGCGCAAGACGGCACTGGCAACGATTCGAACGCTCGGCACCTCCGGTCACTTCTGCCTGGTGGGTGTGGCAACACTCTATCCGTATCTCCAGGAAGCACTGAATCGCGACGATGTCCCGGAGGTGCTTGAGCGCCATCTCGTTGACGCCATAAGCGGTTTGCTCTCGCGCACAGTGTTTGCATACATGGCAGAGAACATGGCCCGCACTGTAGCACAGCTTGACAGAAAGACCTCCCTCAGTGTGGGTGAAGTTTCACGTATTTCAACCATGGCGATGCACCTACGCCAGGCTCTCACGCAAATGATTCCCGCCCCACTTTTTGTTGTGCTTCTCCCATTCTCGCGTGTGGCCTTCAAGGCTGGGCGAGGAGGCAACGCGGTGCGGACGACAATTCCTGTTGCGACGCAGCATCAACTTATGGGCGTGCTTATGCAGAACTTAGGTCAGTCCAACTTGCCACAGCCGACAGAGACGCTACAGCTGCTCTCTACCATACTGCAAAACTTCCCCTCGCTTTTCAAGAGCGTACAACAGGGTATCAATTTGCTAATGGCTATGATTCCCGCCTCTCATCTTGTTGCGCTGGAGCTTGGTCTCTTTAATCAAGCCGATGCCGTAAAGGAAGTCACCGCAGCGGCGTACTACCGTTTCTCTCACTTTGTCGCGTGCCGCCGCGCTTTGGTATTGGCTTCAATCTTCCTCCATGATTCCTCCGCAGATGTTGTGAGGTCGATGGAGCTAGTTACGAATGACTCGACCTACGCCTTTTCATTAGCTCCGTCAGATTGGAGCGATCTGGTTTACTATCTCCAAACCTATGGTCAACAGCAAAAATCACACTCTATGCGCATTGGGGAGACAATGCGTGAACTCTTCCTATTGTCATCCACAACAGAGATGCAACAAATTGCTTGGCTGGAAGATGTGAAGAAGATAGGAGGGCTTGGTGCTGTTGTTGCTATTCAGGTACTGTCATCATCGCTGAAGGGAAATTCCTTCCAAGCTGCTCTGATGTTTCTTTGCAGCATGGCAGAGTCACCAAGTACGGAGCCACTCATGCGGTTGATACTCGCCTGTGGACGAGTGGTTTTGCATGACTGCACCCTTGAGGCCCTTAAGGCGATGGCAGGAACGCTGCAGGCACGCCTCAGCAAGCCACCAAGGGATATCACTCCCGCACACAAGGAGCTCTACCTTGCCACTTCAACTGTATGGCTAACTATCATCAGCTGCCGCCTAAAAGAGACGGCGCTCCTGGAGTCCATCATTGAGCAGCAGAGTAGTACGTTGAACAATTCCAACTCCGCCATGGTGCACCGGGCTGTATGCGACTCCATGGTGGAGATTACGAAGAACGAAGATGTGCGTGCGTCACCCAAATTGGACGAGTTTGTGGAAAAGTGCCTGAAACAAACTATTCACTCCGGCTCCTACATCAAGAAGAAGGCACATGCCTACGGTCTTGTGGGTGTCCTTCAGGGCTTGGGTCTCCCCTCGCTGCGGCGTTATAACATTATGGAGACTATGCAGTCGATGATGCGAGAGAAGCAGGCAGAGCGGTCTGGTGCGATGGTGTTGCTTGAGGCCCTGTCGGAAGTGATGGGCGCGAAGTTTGAGCCATATGCCCTCGCTATGTGCAGTGGACTCCTCGAAGGCATTGCTGATAAGGACCAGAAAGTATCGGAATGCGCCGATGACGCATCACGTGTGATGGTGAGCTCTCTCACCGCTGTGGGTCTGCGGCAGCTGATCCCTCGTCTCGTTGATGGATTGTCAGCGGATCAGGCGAAGATGCGTGTGCCTCCGCTGAACTTTATCGGCTACGTCGCTTTTTGTTCGCCCAAGCAGCTGGCGGCGACTCTGCCAGAGATCACGAAGCACATTAATGCTTGTCTTTTCGATGTCAATCACAATGTCTCAGAAGCTGCTATGAGTGCGTTGCGGCGCGTCGCTGGAGTTGTGTCGAATGCGGAGATACGTGAGCATGTTGAAGTGATCCTCAAAGCCCTACGCTCCCCGAACACGGAGACGGAGAACGCACTGGACGCACTGCTCTATACTCGCTTTGTGAATGCCGTTGACCCTGCATCGCTGGCCCTCATTGTTCCCATCCTTTCGCGTGGCCTCAGCAATCAGATGCCTCACCTTCGCCCCAAGGCAGCACAAATTGTCGCATCCATGGTGAGTCTCGTAAATGACCCTAAATCTCTAAAACCATATTGTGAGGAGCTCGTCAAGCTGCTTGAGTCTGCCGCAGAAGATCCAATGTCGGAGTCCCGCACGACCAGTGCAAAGGCTATCGCCGCTCTCGCAGCTGCTATTGGGGGCAAGATTGTCGACGACATTGTCGCATGGTGCTTTGCTACCCTACAAAAGCCAAATGTCAGCACAGTTGAAAAGGCGGGAGCTGCTCAAGTCTTTGTCGAGATAGTGGAAAGCTGTGGCGACTCCATTCTTTATGATTCGTTCCCCATTATCTCGGCCGGTATGGTAGATGAAAGACCACCAGTGAGAGAGGGCTTCCTTCATATTATGGTGTATTCGCCTTCTACTTTCAGCCCAGCGACGTTCCAGCGATTCCTGCCACTTGCTTTTCCATGGGTCCTGGAGGGTTTGTCACACTTCTCTGACCGAGTTCGTGATGTGGCTTTGGTTGCTGGTTCTGGCATTATCAATCTCTATGGCACACGTAATCTCGCATTGGTCCTTGACCCGCTACTGGGTGGTGTAGTGAGCGAAGTGACAACGCTGCGCCAGAGTTCCATGTTGCTCGCTTCCAAGTTACTTATTCACCTGGTGCAGCAAATCCGGAAGAAGATGCGTATTCAGGCAGCCAAGGAAAGTGTTGCTGGAGATAACGATAAAGTTGAGGAATTGGAGCAAATGCTAGAACAGGATCCAGAGGTTGCCGAGGATGCCGAGGCAGGTGGAATGCTGCAGATGGAGGCCGCCCGTGACTTTGAGAAGCGGGGTGTCTCTATACTTGGGTCCCTTGAAGAAATCTTGGGTACTGATGGTTTTACACGACTGCTATCGGCGATGTATTGTGGTCGCCATGAGCACAATCTGGGTGTGCGCACCGACACGAACAATGCATGGCAGACGTGCGTGGCGAGCCTTCGCAGTGCCGTCAAGAAGATCTTCAAGGGTCTAGTAGATGTGTTGGTATTGTTCAGCTCCTCTGAGAACCCTGATTGTGTGGACATGGCAATACGAACCATTGAATTTACCTCACGGTTGAATGAGATGATTGAGCCCTTCATTGATGAGCTATGTAATCGCTACAAAGAGGACAAGCGCCGCAGCAAGCTGGGTGCGCTTACATGTCTTGCGAACATCGTCGTATACTTGGATTCCCGACGCCTCATTGGCGTTGGAGGCCAAATTGTGGGATGCGTCCTTCCCGGTATGCAGGAGAAGGACACACGAGTGCAGCAATGTGCACGGGAAGTCTTCGCGAAGGTATCCAAGTCTGTCGGCCCACGCCTTATTGAAGACGCAATCGAGGCGCAGATCGAGACATCAGTACGCGGTGTGGTGGAGGTGGTAAAGGTGAAGCCGAGTGTCGCACTCGAGATTGTATTCAGATACCTTGCGCAGCAGTCCACGTACACGCAGGGCAACCTTGAACTGTTGGACGCCATTCTGGATGTGGAGGAGGCAGACGAGCAGATGCGCCGCTACGTGGAAGCCACCGGACGCACACTCCTCGCTTTCCTCGTGCAGGACCTTGACGGCGCCAGCGAGACATACCAGAAGTTTGTTGAGAATCTCGAGCGCGAGTTTGAGCATCTGCCGATGGAGCAGTGGCGTCGGGACCTGCGTGCCCCGGCGACGCAGCGCGGTGCTCTTCTCGCCGCCGAGGCGTACGGCCTGGGCATATCGATGGAGTACATTGAGGGCATCTCAGAGGTATTCCGCGCTGCTATTGAGTCTCTTGCCAGTGACAATGAGGAGATCCGTGGCATTGCAGTCGCGATGATCCCGCGCCTCATTGCGTCACTTGAGCAACGCGTGGTGGAGTCTCTTGAAGAGGAAGAGCAGCAGGATCTGACCACGAGTAAGCGCGCCGCAGGTCGCTACCTGTTGCAGTACTTGGATGTCTTCCAGCAAACCCTTGGTGTGACAGCGCGTTCTGTTGTCACAGAAGAAGAGCCCGAGTTCAGCGTCCTGGGAAGCGGCGAACCAACGCGTCTCTTCGACGCCCTCATGGCGTTCTACAACAGAGGTCTCGACTACGGTACGTCCTTGCAGAAGGTGGAGGCGGTGGAGTGTATTCAAGATCTGTTGACGTATGCTCCACGCTCTGTGAGTGCAGGTGCGGCCAATACAGTCGCTGGTCGCTGCTCCAAGGTGCTCTTCACGCGCAACGAGGGAACTGTTGTCCTTGCGCTTGTTAAGTTGTGCCTGCAGCTCATGAACTATCCTGCAAGTGGAAAGGAAAAGATGGTGGAGGGAACTATGGCGCTCGCTATGTTTAACGCTGCACTGTGCGATGCTGGAGAGGCGCGGGTATTGGCTTTGCGCGTTGTGATCCAATTACTGCAGCGGTCTGAGAAGTACGCTGATCTCATCCTCGGCACAGTGGTTACCAAGAAGGCGGCCGTAGACTCACCACTGCTTCGCGGCGTCATGTGCCGGTTTATCTCCGTTGTGGTACGCTACAGCAACTTCACCAAGGCGCTTAGTCACATCACGAAGTTGATGGACATTGTAACTCCCATCTGGGAACGCGCTGAGACGCCGGCAACTACTGCTGTTGCTGGTGTGGCCGTCGCGGCACTGTGCAAATCGGCCAGTATTACGGACGAGCAGCTTGGTATGCTCCAGGAGAAGGCGCTGACGATGATGGCCACGAAGGGTGCCGCCGCTCTTGGCGGATTCGCGTTCGTGTACTCACTCGCCACGTGCTGTGCGGAGCGGGCAGACGCTGTGTTCTTCCGTGCGGCGGCTAGCGGTGTGCGTGCAGCAGCAGCGTTCGGCGCGAGCGACAAGTTGAGCATCATATGGCTGCTGCGCGCTGCTGCCGCGCTGGCGGGCACCGGGAAGGTGGGGGCTGACGAGCTCAGGGCGGAGGTTTACACGCCGCTCCTGCGCCGCGTCGACGTGAACGACGAGCAGATGATGAGCACTGCGCAGTACTACTACGATGTGCTTGCGGCGAACTTCCCAGCGGCTGTGGCCGGCGCGGTGGAGGAGCTTCCACGTGAGGCGAGCACGCAGTGGTGCTTTGTTGGCCACTTCGACGCAGACCTGGATGACGAGGTGGCCGCTGACACGACCTTCTGAGGCCCTGCTCGCGCACACAAGCACACACATTTTTAAGAGAAGATGAGAATGAAACAAAATAATAACAAGAACCGTTTTTAAGGAACAAAAAAAAAAAGAAGGAAATGGATATGAGGAACATGTTGTTCTTCAGTGGTGACGTTTCTGATGTGCATGCATGCAGGTATGGGCACACATGCGATGGACACAGGAACATATCGCCTAGTTGTTTTAATGATGCCTCTCTCTCTCTCTCTATGTATTTATCTGCATCTTTTTTTTTTTATTTTTCGTCGTTGTGTTTTCATTGCACCCTCGTTCATGGGGCGAAGTCGCTGCTTTGGAAAGGAGGAGGGAATACAAGCAACAAGGGGACGGGGACTACAGAGGGGAATAAAGGACAAAACAGCAGGAAGGGGAGAAAAAATAAACAAGAGTAAAGATGCAGACCAACTTCCAGCTGGCATCAGTGCATGGCATGCTGTACACAGGCGGCAACGTCGTTTTTTCTCCCGACGGCCGACAGCTGTACTCGCCTGTCAACAACTACATCTCTTGCATTCAGCTGCAACAGGAGGGGCACCGCTCACTCCCTTGCAGTAACAGCAACATCCAATGCTTTGACATTTCGCCGGATGGAGACCTGCTAATTGCGATTGGTCAACGAGGTATCGGTTTCTTCTACGCCATCTCTGCTGGTGTGGTGCTTGACACCATTGCATTTCCACCCGAATGCGAGGTCCGCTGCGTGAAATTTAGTCCGTGTGGCAAGTATGTTGCGCTTGCGCTCGAAAACACTCTTCAGGTGTACACCGCACCGGCTCAGCGCACTGTCGCATTTCATGGATGTCATCGTGTCGAGAACCTGCACGCAGCACTGACGCTACCCATCAACAACATTGAATGGACACCGGACAGCGAGCACCTGCTGCTGAGTGGGCAGGACGCCCGAATGAAGATATTCCCACGGCAGGGACGACTACAGCAGAAGGGGATGGCAATCCAGCAGAATGCCCTGGTGGGCCACCGTGCGGGAGTACACGGCGCCTGGTTCATAGACCATGCGTGCACTCGCGTGGTGAGCGTGTCCGCTGACAACGTGTTGATGCTATGGAAGCGTACGCCTGTCACACGCCGTGAGGTGATGCAGGCAATTGCCGTTGCACAGGTCAATGCACGTGTGGGGTTGCAGGAGGAGGAAGACGGTGATGAGGATGACGAAGAGTCTGGACGCGTTCCAAAGTCGTTCCTAGAGAAGCAGCGGCTGGAGCAACTGAAACTTGAAGGTGTGCGTGCCTCTATAGCCGATGACACGTACCTTCCAGACGTCCTCAGATGCGCGTTTGAGATTGAAAAGAAGCACCTGTTGACGCATAAGGGCAATGTCTCCGTCACGAGTTTCCACCGTCGCCGCGGTCTTGTGGCAATTGGATACAATTCTGGTATTTTTGCCATTCATTCCCTAGAAAATGCAGATGATGCGGAGTTAGCGCTCGTTCACCTGCTGTCTATCTCCGCACAGTCGCTAACAGCGGCAAGCTTTAGCCCGAGCGGTGACTTTGTAGCTTTTGGTAGCGCCCATTTAAAACAACTGCTTGTGTGGGATTGGAAATCCGAGACGTATGTCCTCAAGGATCAGGCACACTACTATGATATCACCCGCACTGCAGTTACAGCTGATGCGAGCAGCATAATCTCTGGTGGTGATGATGGTAAGGTAAAGGTGTGGAAGGCATCCACTGGCCAGTGCTATGTGACCTTTGCGGAACACACAGCGCCGGTGACCGGTATTGCGACGAGCGCGGCGACTAATGCCTTTTTCACTTGCAGCCGAGACGGCACAGCGCGGGGCTACGACCTCGTGCGGTATCGCCATTTCCGCGTCTACACGGCGCCGGAGCAGACACAACTTTCCTGCATCGCCGTTGATCTATCTGGCGAAGTCCTGGCGGTGGGCAGTGGCCAGACGGACCGCATTTACCTCTTTGCAGTTCAGACGGGGAAGGTTATCGACGAGCTGCACGGGCATGAGGCACCCATTGCATGCCTGGCGTTTCATCCGTCCGGTACCGCGCTGGTCTCCGGTTCACTCGACCATAACCTTGTCTTTTGGGACCTCTTCACGCGTGGCGATGGCGGGGACCGTCTGAAGGGTGACGCGGAGGCGGTAGACATTGGGTCGGAGGTTCTCAGTGTGGCCTTCAGCAGTACCGGTCGTCGCCTGGCTGTGCTGACGATGAAGCAGGAGATCTCCGTCTATGAAACGGTCGTGCCGACGGAGCCGATTATCATTAAGACATTCAAAACAAATTTCGACGCTGCAGGTGGATGGAACAAGACGGTAGGTCCGCGCAGTGCTAACTACAACGCCCGCTTTACCACCATTGCCTTTTCCCCAGAGGGTGAGAAAATTGTTGCAGGGGGGGATTCCAAATGGATTGTTCTATACCACGCTTTGCAGGGCTATATGTTGAAGAAGTGGCCCATCACAACCAACCTCGATGTGCAGGGCGCAGAGGAGCAGTACCAATGGCGCCGCATGACGGAGGCGGGGCATATGGATGATATTGATGTGGACGACACAGATATTCACCTCCGCCGCGGCAAAATGCTGGAGATGCCGGGAAGTCGTCATCGACACTTTGCTACTGGAAAGCGACAGACAGCCCTCACGGCACGGACGATGGACTTGACGTTTGCCTCCACGGGTAGCGAGTTTGTGGCAGCGACGACAGATGGCCTGCTGGTGTTCTCCACCCGCATCGCGCGACCTAAGTTTCAGCCGCTGCAACTCAGCGCCAACATTACGACGCAGCAGGTCCGCGAGCAGCTTTCCCGTGGCGAGCCGGTGATGGCGCTCATGGGTGCACTGAATCTTGGCGACAAGATGCTGGGTTCTGAATGTATGCGTCGGATGCCACGAAATGCCATTCCCGTTGCCGTATCATCTGTTCCCACAGTCCTTTTCCCGCTTCTGGTACAGTGGGTGAGCGACGAAGTTGAGGAGAGCCGTGGTCTCGAGCAAGCCTTGTTGTGGGCACAGTCTCTTATGCTTCACTCCAATGAGTGCGCAGGAAGTTTTGCGCAGGACCGTAGCACCGTCACCCCAGCATTGAAAACTTTGCAACGCAGTCTGCAACAGCACAGAGCTTTGACAGATCTAGCAAAGGAGAATTACTTCTCCCTGAAGTACATCATCGACATGACGAGGATGCAAAAAGACGTCCTACAGCCTGAGGCTGTAACTGAATGAAGCATTTTTGATGCGAACAGAAAAAAGAAAAGGGACTCACCCATCGAGTAAATTTACTAAATATACGTGTGTCTGTGTGTGTGTGCACACGAGGAGCTGAATATAAAAATGAAGGAGAATATCACAATGATTGCATTCATTAATGTTGGATGTGGGGTTTCATGGTGCGTCGTGGAAGTGGAGTTTGTCTAATTTCCATACGTTTTCTCTATTCTCTCTCTCTCTCTCTCTCTGGTGGCTCGTGTTTTTCGCTTATATTCTCCTAGATGGAAGATTTCTTTGTCTGGTGCTGAGCACTTTTTGGTCGTAGCAGGCCTTCTGCTGGAACACACACCGTTCGCCAACATAGTACTAGAAGGAGGGAATTTGGTGGTATACCGCACACACACACACATACACATCTTCCATATATATATATATATATATATATTCTTTCATATATACGTGGAAAGCTGGGATAAAGAATGAAGAGTCACGGTATTGAAACGTCGTCACGGACGAAGGAATTGCAGCCCGCCGTTGTAGGGTCGTCTGCGGCAATCGTCTTGCCTAATATCACAGCACTCATGCGAAACGAGTTCCTTCCACTTATGCAGTGTCTGGAACAAAGTGATGACATCCTTTGTCGAACGTATACCGTAGAGCTTGCGTTGACGCTTGCACGCCTTGATGCGTCATTAAAGGAAGAAGAAAGACGCATTTTTGTGTGCGCGTTCGATAGTCTTTCACGTCATCTTCTTAAGGATCTGCATCATTTCATGGAGGTGGAAGGCCTTCTTCAACAGGACCTGCAGTTGTTGATGGAGCTAGCAGAGAGATGCCGCATGGTGGAACTTCTTTATACCAGCCGTTCACGTGGAAGTGGTGAAGGTCTCGGCTTAACGGAAATGTCAAACGTGATGTCATGCCGCTCCTCTGCTTCTGTGGCTATGGACGTGAAGGGCCAGCGCGGGACGTCGTGTTTGGCAGAAACGTGCGGAGTCAATGGCCTCACTGCTGAGCTGCAGCAGCTGTTCCTCGGAAGCGTACCAGGCCAGATGCACTCAGCAAGTCCCACAAGGATATCTAGAACACCAAGTATAAGCGGGAACAACAATGAAGTTGCGGCAAATGTCACGTCGCGTTCTAAAATTCCTCCACAGCGTATTTTTCAACAACCGTCGCCTTCACTGACGACGCCGCTTTGCGACATCACGGCATGGCATTCTGTTTGGTGCCCAGAAGAATTCTGTGAATTCCTGGCTGGCCGACTGACAAAGAGTGACGTTTCCGCCTTATTGAAGATACTGCATCCTGCGAATAGCAGCTGTGGGAAATGTCAACGCTGTAGCAACGTCAATGAAGAAGAAGCCTCCAAGGTAGCAGCGAAGGCTCCTTCTAACACGAGCACCTGTGGAAAAAATGCCAATAGCAACCCAAACAATGACATTAGTACAGGCACACGTCTAGGCGCGCACGCACAGTCTGCGGAATCGGCTCTGCCGAGGCGTTCGGTACAAAGCGTGGATGATGTTGACAGTTGTACGCGGGTGAGTGATGGTTTGAAGGCTGAAAATCCAGCGGCGTCTTCCTCATCATTTGTGTTCAACACGGGAGGCCGAGTTGTTAACCGGACAGCACTGCATATCAACATCATGGTGGAAGGCCTTCTCTACGGTGGGCCTTCGGCGGCCCCATCGCTGAACAGTTCCTTTAGTAGTGTGGAGGAAGCAGAGCAGAGCAGCGCCGCAACGGATGCTGCTGCAGAGCACTCCCGCAGCATGGGTTTGCAGCTCAGCTACACTGCCGGGCGCCATATTGCGCTGCCATCACCAGCGGCAATTGGCTTGTTGACAACATTGTTTCCCTGTCTCCGCAACTATGCAGAGGATTTTAAGAAAATTGCCGAAAATGCAAAGGAAGAGAGTGGTAGTGGCGGAAATGCTGTGCTGCCCGCATCAAGTGATACCATTCGCCGCCCACATAGCAGCCTTCATCGTATGAAGACCCCTGTCAGTTGTAGCGTATTGGCTGAAGTGAACGGCGACGCAATGCAGATGGCTGCCCCGGATCCACTTTCGGCAGATTTCAGTGGGCATGTCCGCCCTATCGATGTGGTGCTCTTCTGTTTCCTTCGCTCGCTCATCAATATGAAGAGTAACATCAGTTCTGACGTTGCCTCCGTTGCTCGCGCAGATGATACCGATCAATCGACAGCACGGAAGTCTTCTAGTGAGGACGCTGCTGCAGCATTTCAAAAAGAGCCACCAGACAACGCAATGATGAATCTCCCTGGTCGGATGGCAGCAGAGTTAGAAGTCATGATCAAGCAGGTGCAAGAGTCAATGGCAAGTACACAGGCTCTGCAAGAACAGATACGAGAGGAGGTCGCCCTTCTCGTTTTTCGTGCTATTACAATCACAGTGGATCTTCTTATTCCCGCTGTGCAGTGCGCGGACCGACGGGTAATGATGTTTTACCGCAAATGGATCTGCGATTTGTACCGACTGCTTTGGGAGGAAGATTTACTGGAGCGGTTTTCTGGTCTTGTGGAAGTGAATATCCCACAGACTTACATTGACAACACTTTGATTGGGAACTTCTTCTTGCCTAGAGGAATGCAAGCGACACCTCAGTGCAGCACAAGTTGTGGAAGGCATCTCTCAGGGAGAGAAGGGTCGGCGGTGTCGGCAAGCAAGCAACAACACAATTCAACGTCGGAGCAGAACGATTATGGCGTGATCCTTGAAGATGGTGACGAAGAACAAAAATGCAGCACTTTGGCATGTATAGCGCCTGGAAATGCGTACTCACGCTCTGCACGTAGTCCTGTGGTTGGAAGTTGCACCACAGCGTCGCTAAATGCCACAGTGACGGCTCACCCGTCCCTGTTCCTCAGCACTACCGCTGCTGCGAATGAATGCCACCACGGCTTTGGTCTGTTTGATGACCCAGCAGTGCTTGTTGCTGAGTCGTTGCTGGAGGACACTTCGACGGAGACACCACCACCTTGCAGTTTTGTCGTGACGCGTCTCATGGCCGCCCTTCTGCGCGGTCTGGACACCGACAGGCTGCGGCATCTTGCCCCTGTGCCAGACCGCTCTCCTCACAGCTCAGCTGGTTTTACACCATCAACGGATCAGCCACTAAGTGGGGTGCGGAAGACACCTCTCTCTGTTCGCACTGTGAAGAAATCGACTCGGAAGAAAATAGTGCCGTCGCCTCAACGTTCATCACCACCACTACCGGTGAAAGTGTATTCCCCCTCTCTAGAAGAGAAGCCCGCGGGGTCGCCTCAGCGTACACGCTTCCGCTACCCGGCAGTGACAACTGCTGACGATGTGAAGGCGCTATATTGTAATGCGCTCCTTGAAGCGGAGATTGCGCTCTCACCGCTAGATCCTATACGTGCTGCCCTTGTGCAGAACGCGGTTGACTACCTTGTTTCAGCTATGCATAACCCGAAGGAGGCCTATGAACTCCTAGACGCATATCTGGACGATGTGGGCACCGAACAGATCCAACCTCCAGCCACAGGACGAGCGGCACTTGATGGTACGATGGATAACAACTGTGGCAGTAGTGGCGGTGGCGGTGGCGGCTCACACTCTTTGTCTGTGCCGGATTCACCCTTCTCTGTTACCACTGTGAGGCGCGTGCGGCCGATGCCCTCCGACATGACGCTGGGTGGTGGGGATAAAATACACGCGCATCATACAAGTCACACGACACATGTGAAACGCAGCGCTGGGGTAGAGAAGGACAACAATAGCGCAGCATCCATGAGACTGCCTTTGATACCAAAGGTGATACCTTCTTGGAACTCCACAGAGGAGCAGGAGCAGTTTCTGGTGATCCTAGCGCTGCTGCGTCGCGAGTACATTACTCTTAGTGCTTCGCCTGGTGCGGTGTCGTTGGATTCCAAAATGGAGGCTGAGGATTCAGTGGTAAAGTAGAAAAAAAAAGCGAGGCGTCCACTCTAAGAGTGTACGTATGTATGTTTGTCTGTGTGGTGTTAAACAGCACTCTTTTCAGTTTCTTCACAAAACTGATTAGCGAGCGAGTTTGTTAGTAGGTGTCATCTCCACACCTTTGGGCGTGTCCTGTTTTGCGTAGTCGCAGTCATGTGCAGATTAGCTCCAGTGCCGCGCTGCATGTTCGTCTTCATATTCTTTTTTTTTTTTTGGTTTTGTTGCCGCTCTACTTGCATCGCTAGAAGCTTGCTCTGGTGCCGATCGCTACAGAGCGGCGCACACTTATACACACAAACAAACAGAAAAAGAAAAAAAAAGTACAAAACACGCGCGAAACCACAGAAAAACAAGAAAAAAAAAACTCCCTCGTTGGTCGATAAAACCCTTATTACACAACTATCACCAACAACAGCAAAATCGGCAAAACCAAAAAAAAAAAGAAAAAAAACAAAACGAAACGAAAAGGCACGTACTTCAATCTCAGTTAACCGTTTTTTTTTGTTTGTTTTGCTTTGTTTTTCTTCTAGGGAGAGGCAGGCATAGTGCGGTACGCTGCCCCGTAGTAAACAAACAGAAACGCACGGAAACGTGCACTGGAGGGTGAAGCGTCTAATTTCTTATTCTACCCGACCATTACCTCCCGGACAACATGCCAGGACGACGAAACGAGCGTGGTTCAGATGAAGGAAAGAGAACAGAGACGCACATTTCGCAGCCTTGTGGTGAGCCAGAACATCTCTTTTCAGGCAGCAGTCTCCTCCAAGAGTTGCTGCTGGATCTCGGTCTCACTGATACTGCCAAGACATTAGAGGAGGAGACCCGTCGGAGAATGCAATTATTTGCTACTGCTTCACACGGTAAAGATGATGGAACTAGTGACCACGGGGAATCTCACAGCTTGTCCCGCAACAAGAATGACGGCAACGCCAGCTGTGGCCCAAATAGGGCCAATATCTCAATGAGGCCGAGTGGCATCAACAATAACCGTAACGGAAGTGGTGGGAATGGATGCCCCACAACTGCTGTGGTGAATGAAGACAATGTGCCCGGGCTTACGCCCGAGGTGCGGCCCACGGATACGGCCAATATAAATCTTTTTCGTTCCTTGGCGCACCGAAACGGGAGCAGAGGAAGCGGTGGCGAGTCAACGAATTTAAGTGCCCTTCATGACATCTGTCGAATGTCGATTTCCCCCCTCGGTTTGGCTTTAGGCAGGTCTGCTGCCACTGAGGACAACGACAACGATGACGAAGCATCTGCCCTGACACCACTTCTTCAGAAGCTGCTCCGGGTGTTGCTGGGCGACGAAAACAGTACGAGTGAAAATGGGGAGGGGAAAGGCAAGATTCAAAAGCCCATCACTCTGCCCTCAGCATGGTCCTCCCTCACAGATGTACTCTTTGCTTATGTGGAGGTGCTCTGGGCACAGCTACGCCTGGTCGAAGCCGTGTCATGTGCGGAATTTGCGGCTCAAGGGTGGCTTCACCACCGGCACAATATTCTTAAGCGGCTTTCGCTTCTGCAAGAAAAGCTTCAGCGACTACTTCTAGATGCGCATCAGCTGGAGTACTCCACCACTAACGCTGGGCGACATGCTACGTCGCACAACAATACGACAGAGTCGCCCGATTCGAGAATAAATGTGGGAAACTCATCTTCACAAGCCTCCTGTGTGAAAGGAGGACTGCCGACAGCAACTGAAATTAAATGTGGTGCCTTTTCTATGTTTTGTCGAGGTGCACCCACTTTCAGAAAGAATATTGAGGAGGTCTCAACGTGGATCATGAAACGATGTGGTCGATGCGTGCAGATAAACGACGCAGATTACCCTTCCAACAGAAGGGACACAGAGCCAATCGCTTCCACTAAGGATGATGAAACATCAAGTGCAGAGCATCATGAAGAAGTGTATGGGAACTCTTCGAGAGATTCATGGAAGCGTTTTCTATTCGTTGTGCGGCAAACAGCCCTTACTCGAAGTGAGGATCTGTCGAGCCTTAATCCAAACGAAAGTGGATCATTGCCTCTTCCTGACCCAAAACTGCGGTGGGCCCAGACAGTGCTTCGTATACAGCTTCTTGGCTGGATTGTGGGCTCTGTCGCGGAGTTCGCTGATTTGTTGCAGCACCAGCACCGACACCAGCCTTGCAACTCAAAGGAAAGGTGCGAACACGAGGAGGCCAGAAACTCCAACAGTGAGCGTGGGGAGTTAGGGCGAAGTTCTTCTGTGGTGAGTGTTGTTCTAGGATTTTGGTACCAGAATTGTGCAGCTCAAATTTACGAAAGAATAGTTGCTTCTACGGGAAAGCGCAGTGGATCTCCCGCCCGTCATCATTGCGTTTTCGAGGATAATGAATCGTATCGCCGTCGGCTACCACGCCCCCGTCGCACGGAGGCGGCAGAAGAAGAGCAGGCGATTGGCCAGACCCTTTTGAGTGCGCTGAAGCAGGCGGCACACGAACTTCTGGCAGGCACACCGACAGAGATGGAGCCGCATCAAATTTTTGTTTTAGGTGATGACCTCCTTCATGACACTGTTGCGGGCCCAATATCCAGCAACTGGACACAGAAGGGGAAGCTGACACGCTCCATAGTCAATGAAAGCAGTGACGTCCTTATCTCTCTCTTGGGCGCGTTGGCTACAGGGAAGCCCTCCCAAGTGACTCTGTCCAGCAGACCACCAAGCGTCAGACTCCATCGTCTCATCAAGAAAGCCTTACGAAGACCCAAAATTCTCCTTGAACTACAGGATGACACTTTACCTTTGGACTACCAGCTGATGGCCATGGATAATTTAGCAGCACGGATGTTGTTATGCAAGAAAAATGAGAAGCCCGGTGCACCAAAGGGACTTCCTGGCCGAAGGCGTAGTGAAATTAATTCAAGTGTTAGGGCACTGAATGAGCCTTTCACTGTGCATACATATGAGGGAGAGACATGTGTTTCTGGAGAAGCTGCAGCGGCTGTACCAAGGCAGCAGCGAGGCCTCCCGGAGAGCGCCAGTATTGGCTTTGACCCGCCAACTGCGATGGGGGAATTTGATGAACCAACAGGTGGTATATTACCTGATCTCCAGGAGCTGATGCGTTTTGTGGTTCTCTCGGCGACTGAGTCCATCTCTGCTGAGGACCCCACAGTAACAGGCCTTGATGAGGATGCAAGCTCGGCGGATGTCAACTATGACCGTCCAGGCGATGAGGTGCTGAATGAAGTGCAAGTCGTTGCCGTGACGCCATGTGGATCGTTATTGGCGATGTTGACTACAAAAGGACGTCTGGTGGTGTTCGCCCTGCGTGCTGCCTGTGCTATAGACGGTGCTGCCGTTGGAGAGCAACAGCAGGAATCCTTCTGCGAGCAGCGCATTCTGGATACTGTCCTGCTAAAGGGACAGAAAGAGTCTCACTGGTATGAACATATTGCATCCTTTCTTGCCTTCTCCCCGTGCGGGCGGTTTCTTCTCTGCTCGGTGCAAAATGCACCGCCCTCTGTGCCGGAAGGAGAGGAAGCGAACCGCACCATCCACGAGACCACAGGGAAAGTCTTCATCTACTCCTTGCACTGTACGAAAAATAGAGGATATACTGAGGTGCTTTCGCAGTCAAAAAACCGCAAAAGTAGCAGTAGCATCGGTTGTGGTGAAGATGAACGCCTCTATGCTGTGTTTCGCATTCACTCTTCACCCATTACAATTGCGCGTTGGCTGGACCCGCGCTTCTGGCGACGCAAGAAGTCAATGTGTGCTCGCCAATCAACGGAAGACAATTACGGTTGGCGACAAGAAGCAAATCGCCGCCTTGCAGAGCTTCAGTGTCTTTCTTCCGGCACAGACAATCTTATCCTTCGCTGGTCGCCCGCGGACGGATCGATTATACAAACTATTGCGACACTTCCGGTGCGCGATATATTGGTCTCGTCTTTAATGCAGGCATTCTACACCATTAATCACTACGGGCAGCTTTCCATGTATGACGCATGGAACGAGAACAATATCGGGAGCGTAAAAGACAACACAGTACGAATAGCACAGCGTGGACTCCCTACCTCTCTCTCAACGATCCAATCGTCTACGGACAGTCGAGAGGAGGGTTCTTCCAACAAAACAACAGCACCCCTTGCAGATGGTGAAATGCAGAATGATTTCTTTGTGGGACCTCGTATTATTCGTTTTGATCGACGTTACATGACACAGGGAGGGGCTCAGCGCGAGCCTATCGTCACACAAATGTCGCGAGTGGTTCAGGAGAAGGGACTCCCAGCTGGAATAGAGACGAGAGACGGAGATCGTTTGGGTCGCCGTATTCTGGAGCATGTACTCTTTGAAGGAGGGGACCACTTCACTCCTCACACACAGGCTGTACTGGAGCTCTCATCCGCCTCTGACGATGACTATAACGACAACGGTAGTGACGATGCAGCGCGGCTTGGTCGTCGCCGTCACTCACATATGCGTCTGGACACCGATGCTCAAACAAATCCCATTTCATTTCTCCGGCTTCGTTATCCGCGCTGCGAGAGAAACGCGTCCGCGACCTCTGCATCGCTTGGTGATGACTCCTTCTCTGGGGAAGCCATCCTCTACCAGACAGGATCGCGCTTGGTGTTTGATGAAGTGGCCCAGGCGCTATGCCACACGGCCTGTATCTGGCCTTACACTAAGGATTCCCGCTATGCGCCTTCACCGCAGCCGTACCACCTGCTGTCCATGGCGGCGTCTGGTTACCCTGTGTGGAACGAAGAAGATGATGCGGGATCATCGATATGCCATGTGTGCCACACCAATGAGCGCCGTGAAACTCCATCAAGTTCACCACCTGCATGCAGTTATTACAGCGACGCCCTGAAACATAGGGCCGAGCGCGGTGCCGCCCCCTCTGTCAGCAGCAACAACAATAATATCAAGAGTGGTATCGCTCCGCCGGGAGTGGGTCGAGCTCGAGGAAGTCAAAGTGTGCGTTGTACGTGTCGCCCGCCGCGCAAAAATGCCGTGCTGCAGCCTACCGCCAGCAACGGGCGGTATTTGTGTATCATGGCTTCCGTTGGGCCGTATCGTGCGGTCGTTCAGTACGATCAACCTCTTGAGTACCGTGCGGGAATTTACGCCTGCGTTGTCTTTGATGTACTTTACGGCAGCGTGCTGCGTGTGATTCCTGTCTGCGCAACTTTGCCGCGTGCCGCGTTGACGGAGAATGGTATCGCTCTCTCCCATTCGCACACCAAGAGAGCCCCGATTTTCACGTTGCCGTGCTCTGTCACTGTTGTACGGCGATCACAACAAGGAAGTGGCGGCATGGGAGAGAGTGCTACTACTATAAACAAAACACAGCCGGAAGAAGATGAAGAAGAGGAAGAAATCGAAAAAAATGACAACGACGCTGTTGTTCTCGTTGCTGTTGGTGCGCTTCACAGCACAGTGCACGTTTTCAATGCCCTTACAGGGTCCAGCGTCAAGGAGATTGATCTGCGAAGACAGAAGATTTCAAGTGCTACCCACCCCACCGCTGAAGAGCGCCCACCGTCAAAGCGTGCACGCTGTTCTTATGTTTCGTTGGGTGTACTTGACACCACTACCACCTGCTCAACGAGCGAGAACGAAATAGACGCTGATGGCCGAAGAAAACGCGATGATTTTGAAAGTAGCGATGTCTCAAGCGTTACGCTGTCGCCAGCTTCCGAGGATTTTCATGGTAATCAGCGTATGGCGCTCATCTGGCAGCTGGCAGAGAAGCATGGAATAAGCACAGTGCTTCAATCTTCGGCGGCGATGCTGCGTGTTGTGCCCTTACCATTCTCTCCTTTCTGCAGCAAGCTTCTTCGAGAGGGCAGCATGTGGCGCCCAAGTAAGAAGCAATCAGGCTGCGGCGGGCAGCGGCAGTTGAGTGGTGGGTGTTGTAGTGCAGTGAATGCAGCCTCAGCCTCGCGGTCAACACTTTTGCCGTGCCCCTCGTTTATAGGCCAGATGCAGTTGGCAGCAGGGGGTGCTGACCACACGGACGATTTCCCGTCACGTGCAAGTCGTCGGGATAGCGACACGGCGGCTAGGGCAGCGGCCTCACTATGTTATGACGAGCCGTTCGCGGTAATATCACATTCGAAAATGCGTCGTGCGATGTCCGGCGAGGCGAATAAAGAGCCGGATACGAGAGCAACAGCAGCATCAGTGGAAACGGTTTTAGAGGCGGGCGTCAACGCTTCTCCCGGTTTAGCAACAGCCCACCATAACTCGGCCCGCTTTCGTTGCGGTGTGGTGAACAGTGTGGCGCTGTGCTGCGACCGCGTGAAGGGTGGCATCTATGTTTTTTCAGGCGACGAATACGGAGGGTTTTTCATCGCGGGTGGCCTTCTTTCACCGTTGGTGTGAAGCCAGAAGTGAATATGATATGAATGCCGAGAGAGCGACTTCCGCTTTTCATGATTCACAAAATCGCACAGATGTATGATGCTACAAGAGTCCCCTGGTGCCCTCTGTCTTCAGTTTGTATTTAGTTCTGTTTGGCTTGTGGGAGTTGCAGCTGTTGTTTTCACTGTTTCGACCCTGCGTTGTTTGTGAAAGAAGTGAAATGCTTGCGCAACTATATGTATATATGTATATATGTGTATATGTATATATATATATATATACATACATATACATATATATATATATATATATATATATGT